ACCCGTCGCGCTCTTTCAAACACTTCAAACATATCCTTTTGGAAGCGATCGAGTCTTCTATACTTTCCTTTATCCAAATTTCGTTTAATTATATCCATATTCAGAGGTTTGGTTTCTGACTGATCGCTACTTTTGGAATCAGTTTCTGACAATTCAATGATGGAATCGCTGAAACAGCGGCCCTCTTCGTCCTGATGGTTGTACACAGAAATAAAGAGATTGGTTAGCAGTTCCTGAACAATGATCTTCACGTCTGGAATTCCAGTGCCGGAGTCGTCGTTCAAATCGATTTTGGTTTGGAGTGCAATTTGCTGAAGAGTCAGCGCGTCTTTATATATCTGAGAGTCGGGTTCGTTGTATTTGCACGCGTTGTCTAACATTAAGATGAGATCCGAGAGGAGATCTTCAATCGTTTCGTAAACACCATTCTTGAGACGAACGCCAATCTTCTCCAAACCGACCGGTTTTTTAATCACTTCATAATATTCGGGTAATTCTGCTTTCAGTGGAAGTTTCATAAAAATTGCTGAAAGTTGTCGTCCCTTCGCATCCGTATAATCCTTCACTGTGTTATAAAGTGTTCGCATTTTTTGCTGCATACCAGTCGACGCCCGCCCTTTGGTCCTAATTATAGAGTATAAAATTGAATCAAAATTCATTTAAGAATCACATTATGTTATTAATTACTTTTTAGGTTTCAATGCTTGAAAAGGTTCCAACTCTTTAAGCTTATCCGTGAGAACATTCTCCAGAGTAACCGCATCCTTATAGATCTGAGAGTTGTCTTCATTATATTGCTTACAATTGCTGAACATTAGCTTAAAATCAGCGACCAATGAGTCTTCGTTCTGATACTATAAATATTTCAAGAGATGATTAGTTTTAGTCGGGTTCGTTGTATTTGCACGCGTTGTCTAACATTAAGATGAGATCCGAGAGGAGATCTTCAATCGTTTCGTAAACACCATTCTTGAGACGAACGCCAATCTTCTCCAAACCGACCGGTTTTTTGATCACTTCATAATATTCGGGTAATTCTGCTTTTAGTGGAAGTTTCATAAAAATTGCTGAAAGTTGTCGTCCCTTCGCATCCGTATAATCCTTCACTGTATTATAAAGTGTTCGCATTTTTTGCTGCATACCAGTCGACGCCCGCCCTTTAGTCCTAATTATACATTATAAAAGTGAATCAAAATTCATTTAAGGATCACATTATGTTATTAATTACTTTTTAGGTTTCAATGCTTGAAAAGGTTCCAACTCTTTAAGCTTATCCATGAGAACATTCTCGAGAGTGACCGCATCCTTATAGATCTGAGAGTTGTCTTCATTATATTGCTTACAATTGCTGAACATTAGCTTAAAATCAGCGACCAATGAGTCTTCGTTCTGATACTATAAATATTTCAAGAGATGATTAGTTTAATTGACAACATTTTAATACAAATAATGGACTAACTCTTTCCCATTTGATGTTTGTCTCAATAGTTTTCATATCAATTGGATTTGCAATCACATCATAATAGTCGGGATAAGCCTTTTTCGAGGGCTTCTCCATAAATAGCAATATTAGAGAACGTAAGGTGTCGTCCGTGTAATCAATTAATGTCTTATAGAGAATTCGCATCCGTTTCTTGAGTTGAGAGTCGACGTCAAGCTGTGAACGTCTGGCTATCTTCAGCTCCTGAGACAATGCATTAGAAGTGCGATGTTTTTGGCGTTTTGTTGCGGAACTGCCTTTACTATCGTCATCGCTGTCGCTCTCATCCGATTCTTTTATACTGATATTCAGTATTTCCTGTGCTTTCAATTGTAAAGTTTTCTTAAGCTTCAAAGCGTCCTATAATTGCATTCAAATGTGTATTAATATTAAATTCGAGACCATTTTGTAAAGATTAGACAAAAACCTTGAAAATCTTAGAGTCGGGTCTATTGTATTTCATTGCGTTCTCAAATGTGAGACTTAGATCTTCGACCAAATTAGTTATGTTATCGTAAGCGCCGGTCTATTAAACAACAAAATATTTAATAATATTCAAAATAATATCGTAAATAAATTAAATGAAACCTTAATTCTGGCTCTGATTTTGGCCAAAGAGATGGGATGTTTGATCTCCTTATAGTAGTCGGGATAGAAGCGACGCGACGGCAGACGCATGAAAGGATCGGATAACGCAACTCCCGATGCATTGGTTTGAGTTCTAATGGCCTCAAAGAGCTGCCACTGAGGATTGGTCTCAGCGTCTTCGGGGTCGGAAAAGTTGGCGACATCATCGTTAGTGGTCTCGTCTCCATATGTGCTCGTATTTGTGCTCTGAATACTGGCCTCGAGGTCCACGTCGTTGTCGTGTTTGAAGGCGGCCGTAATGGCCGACCACTTCTGGCCGACCGGAAGTGAGCGTTTGGCGCGAATCCGTTCGCTTGTTTTGATTGGTTGGCATTTCTTGAGTTCGATGTCATTCTTCTTATTGATGACAACTTTGCGGAGAGCGTTGGCGTCTTTGTATATCTGAGATCCCGGTTCGTTATACAGCTTCGCATTCCTCACCATTTGAAGCAAATCTCTCTCCAAATCATTCAAACAAACATAACTGTTGTTTTGGATTTTAGTGCCAATTGTCTTCAAATCGATCGGTTCCGTAACAATCGTGTAATAATCAGGATATATAGCCTTTTGTGGCAATAACTCAAACATTGTGCTCAGCGTTCGGCCGTCATCTGTGATGGCAGTCATGACAGCACTGAAGAGCTCTTCGTAAGGGCTGTCGTAGTCGATGGCGGTATCGCTCTCGCTATTGCTCAGTGTGTCGATGGCGTCGATGGCATCGAAAGTGTTGTGACTTTGATTACTGGTCTCATCGAAGTCCTGTTTGGATACCTCTCCTATCATATCGTTTCTCACCTCCAGATACAGATCCCAAAAGGCAATGGCGTCCATATATTCCTGACTCTCTTTCTTATAATAGCTCTTAGCGTTAGTGACCATCAGCTCAATGTCTTGCGTCAACTGTTCCACCTCTTCGTATTCATCCATTTTGATCTTCTGTTGGACGCGAAGCAAATCCATTGGAGTGGAGACCACATCATAATAATCGGCGAGATTTCTTCGTTTGGGAGCTCTGATGAAGTTCTCGCACAAAACCCGGCCGTCGGGTGTCCTGTGATTGCGGATCGAGTCATAGATCTCTTGCAATTGATCCGACTTTTGCCGCCAAATTGAATCAAAATGAAGACATTAATCATTGAAATGAATGCATCCATACATACGATGTCAAGTTTGCGTCTCTTCTTGCCATCGCTTCCATCACTTCCCTCATCGCCCGACAGTTTCTTCCGTTTCGGCATTAAATCAATACTTGAATCCACTCTTTGTTTGGACCAAACTTTGGACACAAATCACAACAAATACTCAAACAATACTAATAACGGGTCGTTCATAAACAACGTGTTGCGGGAGTGGGGGCTGATTGGCATCAGTGGTAATCATTGATCACTGATTATCTACTCTAACAAAGCATACAATTTAACTCTATTTCAAGCATTCATTTGTGAATTTTATTTAAATTTCAAAAAATTAATTTAATTAAGAAATAATTCAATAAAATTATAAATTAAAAAACCATTGAATGAATGGATGAAATGAAAGAAGGCATGGATTACATGATTGACAACTGCCCATGACCAATTTGAACATTCTACTTTATAAATAATGTATTACAATTAATTCATTTATAATTTATTTTATAATTAAAATTACAATCGAGTTCACTTTTTAGTTAAATTTATTGACAGTATATACAAAATATGAATAATTAGTTAATCAATATATGGGTCGTAACTTTGTTTTATACAAGTTATCAATTCATTAGTTTTTGTTCCCGAAAATCATCTAAAAATGAATGCAAAACCGATTTCAATACAACTTATTGTAACCAAAACACGTCAATCATTGGAAGTGAGCATTCGTTCAATTGATGTATAAGACGTGTAGAAGAATCAATAAATTCAATTCAATTACAGTATATATAAGACAACCATTAGTCACGTGGTGTCAACGGTTGAGTGAAGTTTTTTCGTCAGAATTATGACCGAATGGTCGCCTATAGCTGTCCACTGGGTTTCGATGATATGGTTGCTCTCGTGGACCGTTGAACGAAGACGAAGACCAGGAGGACTGGTATTGATTGGACTGATTGATGGGTACACTAACACTGCTGTGAGAAAAGTAGTGCTGTTCGTATTGGGTGTGAGTTCTATCGGGACCCGATGGGGCCGAGTGTTGTCCCGGTTGTTGCGAATGATTTCCATATGAAGCCGAACGCTGGCCTTGAGGTACATTCGGTGGCGTATTGTAAAAATGTCTATCATTTGGATACCGGTGTTTGCGATCCATTTCATCGCGAGATCCATACTTTGGTTTTGAGTAGTGATCGCCCCTAACGTCTCCCCTTTCATAAGGCATAGGTCTGATTGAGCCCATGTTGTCGTGTTTAGACCAACCACTCCTATAGTTCTGCGATTGAGATACGTTGGCACCGCTGGCGTATGGAGCACTCGCTTTTGGATCAAACAGATTGTATTCTTCGTGTTTGTATTCTTCTTTTTTCATCGACTTATTCGGTGAGAAACCAGAGGAAGACTCGCGTTTCAATGGATTAAATGAGGAATGATTTGATGATTGCTTAGTGTAGTGTCTGTCGTGTCGATCCCTTCTCGAAGAATACGCTCCGTCGGAGGCCTTGCTTTCGGATTTAATCGAATGTTTGTACAGTTTGTATAACTTTTTCGCGTGATATTCAGTGAACTTTGAAACAAAAGTCCACAAAAGGTTTCGCCATTCTTTGGATTTAGTCGGATCTGAAGAGAACTCCTGAAGGCATTCGTCAATTCGGACACCAATAGTACGCAAGTGTTGCATATAATGAGACTTTTGTTCAGTCTTGGAGAGCGAAATGTCTGGTTTGTCGAGCGCTTTGAGTGCCTTCTTCACGGGTCTCATCCTTTCTTTGCACTCTTCAAACATTTTGGGATCCAAATCGTCGCTCAACTCATTGTTTGGAAGGGCTGTCGAATTGTTTGAAGAGTTTAGGTCCATATCTTTTGCCTTTTTCTTCTTCTTTTTATCCTTTTTCTTGTGTTTATCCTTATGTTTGTGTTCTTTGTCTTTACTCTTCTTCTCTTTAGACTTTGATTTTTTCTTGTCTTCTTTGTTCTTATTCTTGTCTTTTGATTTATTTTCATCGTTTCCTTTCATGTCATTAGCATTTTGTTTAACTTTAGAAATGCCGCCGTTTTTCGCATTCACTGCTCTTTTAGATTTAGGTTTAGAGGCCTCGGCCTGAAGTTTTTGAGCGGTTATCAGTTTATGCATAAACTTTAATAAATACTCGACTCGTGTCTGAAGTTGTTTGGACTGAGGCTTTTGGTCTCCGTCTACGAGGATCTGAAATAATACTTATGTTTAAACACAAACATTAATTTAATTTATTCGTCACATACTTTGTCCGCCAATCCATATGAGGGGTCCATTTTGATGGCCTCCCAACTGCCCAAACCGTACTCATGAACACCGGCTAAAAGACGAGAGTCTTCTTCAATACCCCAAAGCACATCCCAATGCACTGCCTTTACTTTCGACTTTAAGACCCATCTATTCATATATTGATAAACAAAGTTTAAGAAAACAATACATGATATAACTTATTAATTACTTTTTCTTTTCATCGAGAGTCGGTGGTAACAACAGGTCCAACGGTTCCAATTCTTTTTCACACGAGAGAATATTCTTAGGAAAAACACTGACTCCGCCTAACTTAAAGTTCGGTCCCCTATTGTTCTTCTTATTATTATTAGTGATCACTAAAGCATTCAAATAAAAATAGTTAATAATTTTAATATTTGCTTATTTCTGATCCAAACATACGATTGCTGTCTTCGTTTTGATTTTCGGAATTCATTTTTTCGTTGTATTCTTTGACAGAATTCTCACAACCAGTTTGTAATGCTTCGGCTATGCGTTTGAGATCAGCCATTGGTTTCTCTTGGAGTTCTGCGTCAATAGCTATTGATTCCAATCGCTTCAAAGGATTGGGAAATTTTTTAAAGCTTTTAACAAATTTTCTCACTTCCGTCTCCGAAAAGCCTTTCACCGACTCTCGTGGCGAAGCCTTAGGACGACCCCGTCTTTTAGGCTTATCGCCATCAGAATCATCGCTCCCGACGTCGTCCTTGTCTTTCACTCGATTCGGATCGTATTCCTCTCCACTGTCTGACGGCGCGCCCGACTGTTGCGCCGATTTGCGACTTCTGGGCGGCAAAAACATCTCCATCTCCTCCTTGATCTTCTCTTCCTCTTCTATCTTCATTCTGTCCGCTTCGGGTATAATCTCTTCCCAATCCTTGTCTTTGTTCTGGTCGTCCACAGGAGGCGTCTGAGCACTTAAGGCACTCATGTCTTCGTCTTCGTTAAAGTTAAAACTCGCGACTTTAAAAGCAGAGAGCAATTCGTCGCCAACTGTTTGCGACACATCCTCACGAGTCTCAGCCCTGCGAAGGATCTCATCGATATCACACTGGAGTTCGTCGTCTCCATCTTCTCCTTCTTTGAACAGTTCTTCGGCTCCAAACTTGAGAATCGCTGCCAACTCTTCCTTATTAAAGGGATTAGAATTGGAAGAACGCGTATCCGCACTATCTTTCGCTAATACAGTCCTCCCGGTTGTGTCCATTCGTTGGATGACGAGGTGATCCAAAACCATTTTTCTCTTCGCGCGTTCAATGATGTCCTCCTCGACACTGCCTTTAGTAACTAATCGATAGATATTCACCTGATTTTTCTGACCAATCCTATGAGCCCTGGCCTGTGCCTGAAGATCGTTCTGTGGGTTCCAATCGGAATCAAAAATGACAACAGTGTCAGCGGTGGCCAAATTGATACCAAGACCTCCCGCGCGAGTCGACAAAAGGAAACAAAAGTCTGGAGAGCCCTCAGCATTGAAATGATCCAAAGCCTGCTTTCGAATCTCTCCTCTGACGGAACCGTCGAGTCGTTGGTACGGAAATCGACGCAATGCTAAATATTCGCCTAAAATGTCTAACATTCTGACCATTTGTGAGAATATTAAGACCCGGTGTCCGGTCTCACGGAGTCTACACAAAAGTTTGTCAAGTAATAAAAGTTTTCCCGAACACCGAATCAATCGCTGCAAAGGCTCTAATGATGTCAAGTCATCGACTGGTCGGACGAGTGTCGCGTGATTACAGCACTTCTTCAACTCCATCATTATGTTTGCAAAACCGGTAAGACTTCCCTTCACTCCTTTAGTCAACGCTTTATAATTCTTCGTTAGAATCCATTTGTAATACTGTTTCTGAATGGAAGTCATTTCGACTCTAAGTATTTGTTCCACTTTTGCCGGAAGCGATTTCTCCACATCTTTCTTCACTCTTCTGAGCAAAAACTGTTCCAATTGTTTGTGAAGTTTTGAATATCCCTTATTGTCAGAGTCTTTGTGGTCGTTCTCGAAGTCATCCCAAGAGTCGAATTTGGAGGGACTTATGAAGTGAAGTAATGCCCACAACTCTCGCAACGAGTTCTGTAACGGAGTGCCGGTTATCAGCAAACGATGGTTTGTCTGGAATTCAAAGAGTGACTTATAGAGTAGTGAGTCGTCGTTCTTGAGTCTATGGGCCTCATCGACGCCCAGAACAGCCCAATTCACTGCTCCTAAAAAGCTTCTGTCTTTGAGAAGAATCTCATAAGTAGTCAACAAGACATTGAATTTGAGTCTCTTGTTTCCCGGATGACACCATTCATACGAGCGAATCATATTACGACTGCCGACGTCTCCCAAGTAGACAACGACATTGATTTCTGGATTCCAGATCTCAAACTCCTTCTGCCACGAGGCCATCGTTGACAACGGAATCACTAATAGAAACGGCCCGTAAAGGCTGTGATGGTTGAAGAGGTACGACAGAAAACTAATCGTCTGAATAGTTTTCCCTAAACCCATCTCATCGGCCAAAATAACACCATTTTCTTTACACCAGGAGTGGGCCAACCAATTAAGACCATTCAATTGATAGTCTCGTAACTCCAACTGGTCTTTACCTCCGATATAATCGGGTTGTGTTTTGAGCGCAACAAACTTAGGCCTCACTTTCAACGCTCGGCATAATTTGGTGGGAATTTTCTGTGATTTTTGTCTCGATTCGAATTGTTCGATATGAATGGGGAACTTCTTCTGGATGAGAGCCCCGTCTTCCCACGTGCACTCCAGGTATGGCAGACCTTCCCATTTGCACAAATACTCCGGATGTGGTGTCTCACTGCCTTTGGAGAGCTGGTGGGCTATGATTCGCTCCACATTCATATGCAATTGTCTCAATTGAAGTGCCATCTCTTCCTGACAATCGTAGTAATCGATGTCTTCGGGCGTTGCCATCGATTCTTTCCTATTATTTTAATTATCAAATTATATTAAACACAAATTCATTTCAATTCAAATCAATTCATTAAATACCAAAATCTGATTTCTTCTTCTTTTTTCAAGTAATTCTCCACTTTTTTAATGCCTTTTGCGTTCACTTCTTTCAAAGATTCTTCGGTTTCCCACGTGTTGTGCAAATGCGACCAATTCTTCCATTTGATATAAAATTGAAGCTCTTTTTCATCGCAATCTTCGCCATTATTTGGATCTCCGTTCTCCTCGACCTGATAGGGAGCTGTGGGCAGTCCTGTGGCGCCTCTCTTCCCTTTCCGGTGATCCAAAACCCTCTCAACGGTCTCTCCATCTTCTGCTGCGGCTTCGGCTTCATATGCGGTCCAATCGACTTCCATGAGGTCGTCAGAGTCCGTGTGATCGCTCTGTTCTTTATAACTCACTTTCTTATTAGTTGCTCTTCGCGTCGCTTTCCTCCTTTGGTCGTCACTATCGCTCTCTGTTCCCGAAGACGAACAAACAATTCGTTTCGTTTTGACCGGTTTTGCTCTTCGAGGCGCCGGCTTTCGCTCTTTCTTATCATCACTACTACTGTCATCCGAATCCCAATCACCAGAACTAATCCAATGCACAACAAGACAGGGATTATAGCTATTGTAGGGTTAAGTCATGTCTCAACTCTTACTCAATCCTTTTGGATCTTTTAGTTTTCTTCTTCGTATCGCTTCCATCGGATTCGGCGTTCTTTACAAGAGATCAATAAATTACTGTCTTATATATACCCAACTCATTGTGTTGTTGTGTTTTCTCCCATACAAGCACTACAATAAGCATAACCTAAACAAAGCCCTAATCAACTGACAATTGTCATTAATGAGCTGAGAATGAGCTAGGTCATATTGGTTTGTTTATATTGTTAGTATAGTTGCCAATGAGTTGGTATACTTTCGTCAACACATTTCATAACAAGTGAATGAGTAATACCTCTACAGTATAGCGTTGGGGCTCTTTTCGAGAGCGGGCCGAACGCCGCACTCCATAAACATCGGGATAATTATCTAAAAGCTATTCACAAAGTATTGGATCAGATGGTTGTCACTCATGCCGTCATTATATATGCATTCACTCAATACCTGATGCAAGTCTTCGTTAGAAGTTTTATCTTTCTTTGTCTGTTCTTCGGACGAATTGCTACTATCAGTGTCTGAAGAGTTATCATCGCTGGAACTGCTGCTACTCGAGGACTCACTGCTAACCGTATTCGACACATCCTTATTGTCACTCATGTTTCAAATCACAAACAAATCATTTAAAAAACAAATGTTTCGTAAATATGTTTAGGTTTTACTCTAATGGAAAACCATTGCTTCTCTGCTGTACAGACAGTACAGCTCTCCCTCACCTCTATCTACACACTGTATGAGACATTTTATACATTTCCCGTAAGAGGGAATTCAAACCGATTCCCCGTTCCTATCACTCCCTATTCCCTGCACACCAAATAAGGGCGCATCACAATCAATGAGTCGGCCAAAGACCGCAATCCCGCAGACTCTTGGAGGCAATTCCCGTAACAAAATGGTCTTCAATGCACTAATATTGTTATAATATGCGTGTATTTAATGTCTATTTATTGAAATAATTAGATTTAATGAATTAGTTTTTAGAATATACACCAATTTAATTAAATGGACAGTCAGATTACAGGGATCGCACCTGGTTCCCCGTTAGCATATGCAGGGAAAGGCATGCATTGCCTCTAAGCGTAATCACGGGAACATGGGAATAGGGCAGGGATATGAACATTCTAAAAAGTTGCGAGTCTATTCTGTATATAATATAAAGTACATACATCTACTGTTCATGGTTTGGCCAAATAGAGGTGTTTAACGGGAAACAACGTAAATTGGTGTTTACAACAAGTTATGTAAAATATTTGTATAGTAATAATGTTGTCATCATTTATTAAAATTCACTTTCTTTAGAAAATAAGACATAAATTATCCTCAAATATATATAAGTCAACAAAAAATACAATATTAATGTAATTATATTAATATTCTGATGACATTCTTGAGCTCCCGTTCCTTCGATACAATCTTGAATGAAGGGATGGTTAGTATTGGAGTCTTTCAGTTGACTGATGTAACGATTGGTCACTTCTGGAGGTTCTCATCAATTCAGTAGTGTTTCGGCGTTATTGTTGTCCTTATCGATAGTCTACTGAATCAATGTCTCGGTCTTCATATCATTTGCCTATCCATTAAGAAGTAGAGGCGAAGCGCCGTATTTGTCGGCCAACTCCTGGTATATATAGAAGGCGTCCTGAAGTTTGTCCCCTCCGTGAGACAAATCGATGGACGCCTGACATAACTGGCAAAGAGTCGAGTCGTCGTCCGTCTCCTGAATCCTCTTCAGCTCTTTTCGGGCCAAATCTATTCGATCCAACTTTAGGTATATCTGTAATACCATTGCAGAGCTAATGGTAACCAAACAATCAATTAATCCATTAGCACTTCCAACACATCTCAACACAAATACCATTCAATGTTATCGCTTGAATGCAATACACGTAAAGCGGTCTCCAAATTATTTTCGTAATAATAGTGGCAAACATTAAACACTGGATCCAATCATTCGCGTCCAGTCTTCAAATCTTTCACAATATTTTCCCTTTAATTTGATAACAAATTTAGTTAATTATAAACAATTGAATGCAATTACAAGTGATTATCACCTCTTCGTGTTATCGGCGGCCAAATAGTTGGCCAAAAGTTTGATGTCTTGTAGTTGTGATGGTTTGGAAGCGTTGATCACATCGCAAACCACTCCATACTTCTTCTGTGCCACATATGATCTGTACATAAAGACATACTTAATTAATTAGTCCATAAGCACTTCCAACACATTATGATCTATTCATATGTGTATTAAAACTTTTATTTCTAGTAACTTAAGACACACTTTACACCCGTTAGACAGTAATATGTTTACATTTTTAGCGCCAAATGCTATTCAAATATACACATTATATACACAATCATATTCGCAAATACGTCTAAATATTGCCATACATTCACACATGTTATGGCAAATGTGAGGAGTGGTCACAATCGGTAAACCCTTATCGGATGGACACATCATTTGTTATTACACTAAAAACTCCATAAATCGAACCCTCCATAAGTCGAACCCTCTATAACTCGGAACCCTCTGTAAGTCGAACGACTCTCTGAGACCCGATTCACTCCCATAGACACCCCATTATAAAAAACCTCTACAACTCGAACCTCTGTATTCCGGAACGGAAACTTTGTTCACGGACCCAATACCTTTAACTGCACCTCCAATACTCGAACTTTTTATAAACAATATGTTTTCTATCAACAATGAGAATGTGAAATACAGATATTATCAACTTAAAACTAACTATAAATTCAAACAATACATTATTAATTCTTTTTATTATTGCATTTACTTATATTTTTATAAATATATGGTTTATAATTATAAAATTAGTATAAAATAATAATATGGTGTCACTATATAACTAATAAACCTCTATAACTCGAACCTTTTACATATATCCACACAAAACATGTGTTGATCTTCCATAAGTCGAACCCTCTGTAACTCGAATCCCTCTGTAAGTCGAACAAACATTTTGGTCCCGAGGGGCTCGACTTATAGAGGTTTTAGTGTATAAACATCTGATAATGTAGTAGTAATTGTATTTAAAATATTACCGTTTCTATCCTCATAATTATAGTTCCTGAACCTTTTAAAATTCATATTATGCGCTAAATTTAAAGTCAATCAAACAGTGTAAACTGATACAATGCCCAATCAACATTAAGAAAGAATGTATTTTAGAAAGTATTTTTTCAAGGTTCATTTTTAGTACTCATAATAATACCCGGTAATATGTGAAATCCAGCAAGGGGGGGGGGTAATACTATCTAGGTAACATTACCCCCTATTTTTAAACTATTATGACAATTTACTAAAATTCGCTTTGTTTTACCCTATTTTCCCATATATAAGCCGAAGAGTATCTAATGGAATAGTCATTTTATGAAAAATTGAAAACTAATTGAATTTTATATAACCTAACAAGTTTAATCTATAATTCTAATTGTAGAATATTATAAATTTTATAATATAAAATTAGTTCAAAGTCTAACAATATTAAAAGCATAAATAAATCATTTCTACAATTTGTATTCACCGGTACAGTATAGAAAACTTATAGTTTGACACTATAATCAATTATTACGTTATTCTAATTAGACGACCAATAGATAAAACGGAATGTGTTCTCTCAAATTTTATTGAATGTAAATTTTTCATTGTATAAGAAAGTGATTATATTTGGAAACATAGGGTATTGTGCATATGATTTGCTATTTGAATAATTGTTTTGTTAAATTTCACACACTATTACTGGTAATTGTATGTGAGTTTTAGTACATGGGGGTAATACTATCTAGGTAACGTTACCCCTGATTTTGAAAAACCACATTTAAATTGAAATTCACATAATATTACCGGTATTATTATGAGGATAAAAACGGTATACTTATAAACCCAAAACACATTTACAATACATTGCCGATCGGTTGTGTCAACCACTGGCCAAACGTCACAATCAACATAATTATTACTATTATTGCAACACTCACTTCATTATCAGCACTAATTTAAAGAAACACTGTTTTACTGGAATGTGGTTTCGTTGAAGTATTTCGTTGAAAAGCATATTAACATTTCATATTTTTATGAAAATTTAGCCCAAAATGAATGTTTAAACGAAAATTTTACTTAATTTGTTAGCCCTATAGCTAAAGCATAGAAATATATGCATTTATAAGCAATCAAATATGCACTATAAAGTGGTCAAATATGCACTTATAAATTTTTTAATATGTGACATAAATATAATTTATAATATTTTTTAAGCAATTTAGCAAAATGTTATGATTAAAATGGTTGTTTAGCATTCTAAACCCATTTAAATATTAGTAATGTGTAGCAAAATATAAATTTAAAAAATATTATTTCATTTTAAACGATATAATAATTGCTGTCACTACAATAGTTAATAATGTATCACTACAACCTAATGAAAATTAGATAGATATTTGCCTCATAAATTAATATTTGCTCGTAAACTAAAATTAATTTCAATTAATTGTAAATTTTCTAACAGTTTATTCATATTTTGTTTTGATTTTTCAGTAAATTAATGCTTTTTTATGATTTTGAACCAAATATGTAGTTATATGCATTTATGGGCCAAATATGCATTTATATGCAAAATAAAAGTTTGTCAAAACACCCTTATTATGTGATTCGTTTACCCCCAAAGTCCCAAATATATATAGCTAACCGGTAAAAACATGCATTTGCATATATTTCTATGCTTTACCTATAGCTATCCCTATTCATGACATTACTATTGATTACATCAAACCATTTGTAACGTCTTCCCGCGACTAGAATTGCCGGCAATTATATCTAGATTTTAGCCAAATCACAAAAGTGCTAAACCGGGGCAACTATATCCGAATACAATTGCCCCCCATATTAAAAACTTACATATAGTCGCTCCCATTTTTATACATCTATCGGTTAAATGTTAAGAGTTTGAGGGCAACTATACGTGAATTTTAACAAATGTTTGATTGATAGTAAAAGTGAGGGCAACTCTATCCGAATATAATTGCCCCCGACTTAGAAATCTAGATATAATTGCCCGGCAATTATAGTCGCGGGAAGACGTTAATAGAATTCATATATTAATCATAGCTTTAATTAGAAATACGAATAACTAATCAATTATTTGATTCAAATAAGAGGTGACGAGTGATGGCTCGCCGTATATCGCAATACAACGACACACCAAATGAGTGTATTATAGAGTAATATGGCGTCTGAAACACATCACACATACTGTATATATATATTGCATATACTGTACAATCATTTGCCAATTACTACGCATTTAAACATTTCCACACCATTTACTAAAACACTAATTAGGGGTACATTTACTCAACACTTCAATCAATGCACGCAATCTATACATACCGTCCAATCCATGGCTGCCATCCATTGTGTCCTATAATCACGTCTTACAACGCATTGAGTTCACCGTCGGATCCCTTCACTGAGCCATAAGTGAGCCATTGATCGCCATTTGTATGGCTCTGTGTTTCATACCATCACTCACTGCGATGTCTAACAAAGCAATCAATCATTACATTCACTATTCAATACCAATCGTCTCATTGAACCACTGCTGAGACAATTGTGACACTAATACTAACCTCTGTGTGGATGTGACCAACCATTGACTCGACCGGAGATGTGTTGGCCGTAAGTGTTGTCCTCAAGTGTTGAGCGCATAGAAAGGCATTTCAGACCATTTGCTGGCAGTTGTGTTCACTAGTGTTGTGTTCACTGGTGTTGTGGAGTGAGTGTTGCCTTCACTGCTGGCACTCCCGACACAACACACGTCACACATCACTACCAATGCATTGACAATACAGAGGTTGTATAGACCAGGGGTTGGGCACTATTGGGGGGCTATAAGTGTTGGTCACGGCTTCGGTATGCAATGATATGCAATGATATGCAGTGGTCATACATATGAGGTACGATATATTGCATTGTCGACCAAATAGAAGCAATGGAACCACTATATGGTGACTATATGTGAATGGAGTTCATATACGGGCATTCAATTGTGTTTTGGGGGTCATATGATTGGCCGTACTTTACATACATTACAAACACTGCATTCATAGAGCAAATGGTGGAGAATATTCTGGAGATTGTACGGCATATTCATTGTAACAGTAATATTGTAATAGTGTTGCAGTGATTGACGTAATTATTGTACGAATGGTTTGTGATTGTCGTGACATCTGTTTGAAGACACGGATTGACTGAAGACTTGTCTGCGATTCTTGTGTCCAAACTTTTATAGCCTTCGGTTTAATACACAAAACATTTGCCATTAGTTGACACCCATTGGGATCCAATTGTCATCACAAATGCATCGATCGCTCGTAAGTCACCGTTTGTGTCCATTTTCAACATAATTAATGCCATTATTTTGGGATCAATTTAGAAACCGATTCTTTCAAATGTGTTTCGATGTCAGAGTAATTGCCTCCGAATGGAGTCCACCGAAAGAGTGGTCACATTAATACCGGGCGATGGCATCGGACCGGAGATCTCGAGCGCAGTTCAGCAGATATTTTCTGCCGCAAAGGTATTGCCGGCAAAGAGATGATTGA